AGTTGGACGCTCAACCGACTGAGCCACCCAGGCACCCCTGAATAGTATATTTCTTTGTCTGTATTTAATTTTACTAATTTTACTGAGGACTTTTTCTGGCATCTTGGGAGCTTGCTCAACCCAGGCTTAGGACAATCTTGAAGGGTCAGAGATTTTAACATTTCCAGAGTAACATCTACCAATAAATGACCCACATCTATGGATAAATACCCCAGTTTTCCATCAATAATTGGGATAATTCTGAGGCACATTCTACATGGTACTTTGGACTGAGAGGGTCCCAGCAGGATTGTGCCAATGCCTTTTGGCCATGGCTATGTCTGGTAGTATAGTTTTAATGAACTTTTTCATCCTAAGACTATATACAAAATAATATTTAGTATATACTATTTTCAATAGTTTCATGTCCTTTTATCTAAACATTTTATGTCTGTATTTAAGCATATAACAGGAATAAGACACTTCATTTTTTTCCCAAATAGCTAACCAATTATCCCACCACCATTCCTTCAGTAATGTAACTTCTTACTGCTAATTCAAAATATTTCAATCAGATCTCTAAAATTTCTCTATATTTCTTGATAATTGGCTTTCTCTACTGTTTCATTTGTTCTATATTTATTCTGTTATAACATGTTTTAATATTATAGCTTCACAATACTTTGCAGCTGTCAGCATAACTTTCTCAAATTATTGTTCTGGATTGTTGGAAGACCTCAGTGTTGTTCTATTTTGAAGGCCATGCTAGAGTCTTGTAAAGTGAAGTTGCACTGATATAATTAAGAGGAGACCATAAGTTTGTCACAGGTTCTAAGGATATGAAAATCTACCAGCAAGACTCAGTGTCTCACCTCATGGAAAGACCTCAAAGAGACCCTTCACAAGAGGAACCATCAGCTTAGGTTTATAATTCAAAGTCCTTAAATGCGGGGTGGGGGGGGGGATTGCTGTCAGGAGAAGCAGGCCTTTCCAAGTTTTTACAACTGAAACCCTATTTTTCAGCTGAAAATAATTGTATTGTCTGATTATAACAACCAAACACTGAATGCATGCTAATGGGAAACAAGACAAAAACAACCACCGTTCCCCATAAAAAAAAAAAAGAGGGAAATAAAAGTTTTTTTGTTTTTTGTTTTTTTTACATGTCTCTTCCTGGGGTGCCTCAGTAGTCAGTTAAGTGACCCACTCTTGATTTAGGCTCAGGTCATGATCTCCTGATTCTTTTTGAGCCCCCCATTGGGCTCTGCATTAGAGTGCTTGAGATTCTGTCTCCCTCTCTCTCTCTC